AAGGTTTTAATATAATATATCACTCAATTCAATTCAAATATTATTTGTGATAGCTGATTTTGCGTGGAAAACAACAAACAAGAGGGTAGCCGGTTACTGTGCAAGTAGCACAGAAAGTTTCGATCACAGTCTTAAAAAAATACAAAATTGTTTTCTCAAATTTGTGTCGTGATCAAATTAGTCTGCCTGTTATGATGATAAAAATATGAACAAAAAAGAACTTTGGCAAATTTGAGATTCAAAATAAGTTAGGTCAATTGGAAAACAGTTTTTGAAGAAAAATGACTAGAAAAACGAAAAAAAAAAATTTGAAATTGTTTTTCAAAATTTTTTTCAACTTTTTTTGCGGAATTTTTTTGAATTTTCAAGTTTCTTATTCCCAGAATTGCGCTATAAAACTCCAAAAACTGCCTTACAAATAATAAAAATCATATCAAGGGGGCTAATAAGGGGGAAAGGGGTGCGAACGCCTTTCTCCGCAGAAACTCGGCCCCCTCACACCAAAAGGCGCTTTCTGGTTTCCAAATATACTAGAATCGAGGGAAAACGAAAAACAATTATCAACGCTCGGATTAAAAAATAATTTCAAAAATATTAAAACATGAAAACAAAACTAGCTTTTTAGTTTTGATAAGACGTTTTCTGAACTGATTAATCTAATTTATCAAATTTTTGATCAAAACAGCTCGAGATGTCCTTCCTGTGTTTTGCACGGGAAAATTTTGGGAGCAGGAATTTTCCATTGCTTAACTGTTTGTTAAACCAATCTTAAATAGCTTCAGTTTAAGTGCCGCTGTTTCTTATCTCTAAAAAATGCTTTTAGTTTTAGCATTGCCAAGGTTATTAAGGCATTAACGTTAAAAGAATTTCTAATCTGAATGCCAAAGACGAGATTTGTAATTAAAAAGTCGTCTCGAAATTTCTGAAATCAGATGGAAGACTGACCTCCAAAATCAAATCCAGTGAAAAACTTAAAGTGTTTTATGCTATCTTGTCTTCTAATTTATGCAGTTTGGCGCCCATTTCAATCCCTTTTACAACAAAAACTGAATATTTAGAATAAAATTAGTTTTTTTTTGAGTTTTCAAAAACTATACTCTATGTGGAAGAGGATGTGTTTTAAAAAGATTGTTTCCCACAGTCATTTGATAAAAAATTGATCTTTCACTGAGCGAAAAAAAATAAGAAGTTAACGTAAGAGAACCTTTTTTCTAAATTTAAGTAATTGTTAATTTTTGAATTGTTTTTGTTCGGAGTAAATTGAGAAACCAGCAGATAACAATATGCTTTTGAAAAGTAACAATTACTTAACCATGTTTCTCTTCTCTGTAACCTGTAGGAAAAACAAAAAAATTCAAGCTAGTTTTTCTCGACATTGAAGTACTTTTTTGAACCAGCAGTGGCAGGAGTAATCCCTTCTGATTGAGACAGGACAGACTAAAAATAGGCCATGCAGAATTTAATTGTTTAGCCCACAGGTTGTGATACACAAAATAAAATTAGAGACATAAAATCGCTTCCGAGAAACGAAATGTTCAATTTTATGATCATTTTGGGCATTAAATTGGCTATAGAAGTCCCATTACTCTGATACAATGATGAAAAAAGAATTTAAGTCAAAAAAGAAAAAGGCAGAAGTTCATTGAGTCCATGTTAACATCTGAGCAATAAACCCAGTGTGTAACTACTTTCTATAATTACAGGAAAGTGCAATTATAGTCTATATTCTTCAAGAGCTGGTTTCGGATTTGTGTTTTATGCTGACAATTTTCTGCGATGAAGCTGTGAAAGCAGTCAAGGAAGAAAGTGTTAGCATTTTTCGAAGCAAAATTTCTCCACTGAATAGCGTGAAAGCCCCATCATTCGCAAAACGCAACAAGATTTCTCGTATCAGAGTGAAACCCTAAATGTTCCGACTGACTTTTAAGGACTATGGAGCAGTAATAACATGAAAAAAATTAAATGTAATAAAAGCAAAACCTTTTTTTTATTTGAGATTTTTTTTGTCGAAATCATCTTCCCACTCGCCATATAAAGTACAAAGTGATAAATTTCGCTCCTAGTAACATATCAAATATGACAAATAATCTTCCTTCAACCAATTTGGAACAATTTCTAACCCAGCGCGAAATATATCGCGATTTCTAACACAGCGTTAATAGCGGGAAATATATCGCGTGTTAATTTTCCCAAATTGGCCAAAATGTCAATCTTTAAACCCTCATAATTTTACGAAAAATGATCACAGGTGAAATATCTTTCCAAATTTAAGCTCAAGAAAACAATACCTTTTGAATGATATAAAACATTTTTGTCAAAAATGGCTAGTTAAAAGGTCGAAATTTGTCTGAAGAAAAAAAAACCCACCCGAGCACAAATATTTCGTCACTTTCGTATCGAAAGTCAGAACATTTAGCAAACTTAAAGTAGTCCGTCCTAAATTTGGCAGCCAGTGCAAACTTCATAAGTATTCTCGAATGATACAAAGTAAGATAAAGTAGCGTACCCACTGCACAAAGCTTCCTCGAGAAACAGATTTTGCACATACACTATTATATGAAGTAATAAAAAAATGATAGATACCTAAGGTCATTACATGGATTGAGATTGTTTGGGAAGCTTATTCCTCTTCTCAACTTTTTTTTTCAAAAAAGGTTTTTCCGAAATTTCCACTAAAATTGCTTCAACTTTCTGAATATCGAAAACATGAATCAATTATGTACAGTTAAATTCGAAATTATCTGCAGTATCCAATCCAAAAGATGACTTTAATTTCAAAAAGGTGACATGCAAAGCTGGTAACTTCCGCAGCATTTTGAGAACTGATGGCGAATAACGTGAGTTTTTTAGCCTCAAAATACTGCATAAATGATAACAAGACTGCTCGTATCAGGGCGAAGCCCTGAATATTCCGACTGCCTTTTAAAGTTTATGGAGCAGTAATAACATTTAAAAAAGTTAAATGTAATAAAATAAAATGGATTTTTTTTTCTAAAATTTGACTTTTTTAAATGAAAATCATCCCCCACACGCCATATTAAGTACAAAAGGATAGATTTCGCTCCTTGTAACAAATCAATTGTGGCAAATAAGCTTCTTTCAACCAATTTGGAACGATTTTAAGACGGATTAACTCTACGCTTAAGCGTTTATAGCGCGAAATATATAGCGCATTAATTGTCCCAAATTGACCAAAATGGCAATCTTTAAATCCACATAACTTTATGAAAAATGATCACAGGTTAAACATCTTTTCAAATTTAAGCTCAAGATAACAATTAATTTTTGTTGATATGAAAAAATTTTGTCGAAAATGGCTAGTTAAAAAGTTGCATTTTGTTTGAAAAAATAAAAACCCATCCTGAGCACAAATACTCCGTTACGAAAGTCGGAACAACAACCTGAACACACTTGAACTGAAACAACGGAAAAAGAAGGCATTGTGAATTGCCAGTTTTTTAACGGAGACAAAAATGAAAATATTATATTTCTTGCGCACCCGCTTCCATCGCAAATTAGCTAATCAACACCAATTTTTTTTCCTAAAACTCGTTGGATGCAAAAATGTTCATACTGACAGAAACGTTTCTCATCATAAATCATCATAATCACGATTCTGAATTGAATTTGGAACAATTTTGTGGGGGGGGGGGGGGGGGAGGGGACAAGATAATTCGCCACTCGTAAATAATGCACCTTAAAGTTTCAGTATCAAATTATCACAGAGTTCTTATAGTCACGTTAGTCTTTTGGTGAACGCTTCATAGCAAAATTTAAGCCAAGAAAATTTATTTTTAGCGCGACCCTTGTGGGACCACGGAGATCTATCGATCGAGTCACCGAGAAAAATGTTTTTGAAAGTTGGTCGAATAAAAATAAACAACCCCCAGCATATATATTCCTTGCTTGCTTCGACCTTAATTTTGGTAAATTAACATTAAATAACAGACTCCACTGGAATTCGATTGCTGCACAGATTAAGGAAATCTGCTTGCGATCTTATCAGCAAACGTTGGGTGCATCAAAAGGACTATTTGTTTGAAATTCGTTGAAAAAAAATCGAAGAAACAATCGTTTGAACCTATAAAATTCTATACCATAATGCGCCAGTAATCTTTAATTAGTATAATTGCGAGTTTTCTCCAAACTGATTAGAATTCTTGATTTCTCTGAAAATGTGTTTGCGGTTTTTTTTCCTAAAATTTTTTGGATTTTGCTTTTAATTGCTATTAAACACTTGTTGAATGCCGAGAATTCAGCTGTAAAACTCGGGCTTTTTCTGGTTTTCTGGTTTTTTGCCGAGTTTTTAAACCGAATGATTCAATGCTACCAAGCACATACTTAAAATTACGAATTCAGCTTTTTACTATGCGCTTTTGAAATCAATTGGTTTTTGAGAAATTATCAGCTTGAGATTGAGAAATTTGAGATGGAAAAATTTGAAAATTGAATTCATTTTAAAAATGCTGACGGACAACAGTGCCACTTTATTTGCTAGATTTCAAGTTGAAACTTGGAGCTAACACTTTTTCTGAGCACCAATTTAGAATATACAAAACTTAAATATGATTATTAACTCGATCTTAAAACTTTTAGCCTCGAACAAGTTAGTGGTTAATTAAATTATTAGATTGATGATTTGTGATATTATATTTTATCATGTAGTAAAATTTGTTTTTTGCAGAAAATTGTTTTTTTTTTGTTAATCCTTGTTTTTTTTGAAATCATCCAGGGTGGGTAGACAAAAAATAGGATTCAGATTAGCTTTTCGTGTACCCCCTCCTCTGTCAGTTAATTGTAATTGTTGTTGCTTAACCTGTCAAATTTCATTTAAGATTGAAGAAATAAACTTCCCTTTTTTTCTTCCTATTTAATTATTAGACTTGCAACCTCAACCAAAATTTTGGCAATTCTAGGGTCGTCTAGTCATTTCTCGACATTCAACCCTTCTTTTTGAGCGCAATTCCTCAATCGGGTTTTCATAAAAGAATTACTTCAAATTAAAAACTCAAAGTAGTTAATTAATTATTATTCAATTAGATTATTGAACGATGATTGTTTAGTATATATGGTAGTTGGCAGAACACACACGCCGCACGTTCTGCGACAGTTGACAGTAATTGCGTATCCCTCCCAACACTGATGCAAGCGGTAGATACAGCTGGCTTGAGGGTAGTAGTCGCGACAGGTGATATCAACCAAAGGGTACTGGATCTGTTCAGCCTCTTCTGTTTCCTCCGACCGTTTCATCAGCGCACCTATTCAAATAAATTTCGGTCATTATTCTAATATTTGGACAAAAAGTAATCTGAAAACTTCATATATTAATTAAAAAAATGACAATCTCATTAATCATAAATTGTTCTGAATTGAAATCAGAAACACAATTATTAAACTTTTACCATATGTTCTGACTTGAAATCAGAAACATAATTCTTAAACTTTTGACCTGAAATTACGTGTTTGCTCGGTTGATAAAATATCACGAAAAGCAAACATTACAGCATGTGTTGTTTCTTTCTGATTGGTTTAACCAACAGATGGAATGTTGAAAATATCAAAATCTATGGTATATAAGGCAAGCAAAAATATACCAAATATCACTTCATCACTTTCTCAAAATCTCAAATCTCACAACCACTCTCATACTGAGACCCCCAACCATCCTAATAACCAAAATCTCGAATCTCTATCTCGATAACTATCAATCCATACCCCAATGTCTCTTGATATAAAATTGATGTGTGTCCTCTATATTTGAAATAATATACCTATTTACGAGTGAAAGAAACTTTGTCTGTTGAATAAGAATAGGAAAGTCTTAGCAACATTCAGAAAGACCCCTTGTTCTAACTAGCTGCGATTTGGTCGATCGCATAAGTTAAGTCAAGTTAGTTTGGAATAAAATAACAATAGAAAAATCATAATAGTAATATATAATAAAAATCATAACAGGGGCTGATTAATGGGTAGAGGGGAGAAAAGGAAAGCCAACGCCTCTCTCCTCAGAAATTCGATCCCCTCACACCAAAAGGCGCTTTGTGAAGGCATTTTTGGATTCAAAATATACTAGAGTCGAGGTAAAATGCGCCAGCCAAAAACAAACAAAGCCTGTTTAAATCAATTTTGTTTTAAAAAAGCTCAGAAACCGGAATATTTTGCACTGATTTTTTAACAATTTGGCTGCGGCTCATTTCATGATAGCAAAGATGGAACTTTATGGTGGTAAGAGAGAGCTGGAGAAATCAGTTTGGTCAAATAAAAAAAACGACAAGTTTACAAAAGTTTTTGAAAATCAAACTTCCCTATTCGACAAAGTCTTAGGTCCGCCACTGAATAACCATAATTAACAAATTGGTAATAGAAATAAAAAAAATCAGAGGTAATCATCCATATAGTCGCTCAGTAGCACATTTTTATTTTCTCAAAATATTATAGAAGGAAGGTACAGCCGCAATTATTTTTTATGAACTATAGATAAAAACAATCAAATTTTAGATATAAAATTTAACTAAAAAAAAACTTTTGTTTGTTTTTTTATTTGCTGAAAAAAAAATTTGCTGTACAACAAAAATCAATGGTTAGAAAGAAAAAAATTTTTTTTCAGTATTTCTCGCCTTTCAATGGGCTACAAATTACTGTGTTAGTTTAAATGCAGACAAAAAAAACTTTTTTTTCCATTTTTCCTCAACCTTGTGCATAAAGATTTTATCTACCCGTTGGATTTTTTTGAAGGGGCTCGAGTTTGATACATTATGTCCAAAAATCTGTTATTAAAGTGAAACGTTCGTAGTCATCACACTAATTTGGCGAGGTTGAGTTCGTAGAATTTTAATTTCAAGGCGTACCGAAGCTGTGCAGGACCGTTCCCCGTAATTAGAGCAGTGTCGCTCCCACAGTTTCACATCATCATCGATATTTTCCGAAAAAACCGACAATAAATTCTTCATATACGTGTAGATACAGTTCGGCATTGCCCAACAACTTTTCTAACGTCAATGAGGAACGTACATGAAGTGGGCTCACGACGAGATCACATCTTCACGAGATCCCAAAAATCCAGCTGCTGCCCATGTATTATGATTGTGCATCAGAAAGTTAAAGGTTCTTAGGCAACATGAAAGTCAAGTTTCAAATCTTTCGGCTGTAATCACCTTCAAATCACCAATGTGGAATATACACGAAGTTGGCTCACTAGGATCTTAAAATTTCAAGAGATCTCGAAAAACCCAAATTTTGCCCGTATTTTAGGATTAACTAAAAAAAGTTTCACGTCCCCCATCATTTCACATCTCCCAGTGAACGCAGAGAGCCGAGCTTTTGAAGTTTAAACTGTAGCGTCAAGGGTTATCTTGTATTACAATTTGAAGCAAATCCGACTATGTGACTGGAAGTTATTAGCACTTCGGAAAACCACGCCTTCTCCCCGAAATAGACAATTAACGCAAAATAATGAGAGAGGACATATTAAACTTTTGGCGGCAAAAGACATTAGACACCAATAGCAAAAAAGACTTGTGAATGAAATCTTCTGGTGACTCCTTCCGTTGTTAATAGCTCTTCTTCAGGATAAGTGATAATGGACCTGAAAAATGGGATAACTTGGCAAGTACTAATGGGATACTGATGAACCTTGGTACTTCACTTGAAATTCTTACCCTAAAAAGTAAGATCGACGCCTGGTGAACTCGGGGTGACCCTTAATTGCTCTTGCGGTATTTTGGCGCAACATTGCAGAAAAACCCCAGGATTTACAGCGGAAAATGGCTTATTCTCCAATCCTAACTTTTGAACGGGGAAGTCGATCACCGTAGTTGTTGTTGTTGGGGGGGGGAATTGGAAAGGAAATTCTCAGGAAATGATTCAGACCTAAACGCAAAAGCCTTTTGGACTTCAGTTGAGAATAAAATTGTATTCTCACTAGGGCAACGACCCACAGAAGCTCAGCCTAACTATGATCACAGACAAAAACGTTTGTTTGGTTCTTTATTAAGAGAAACAGCTCTTGAATGGTATACTGATGAGGTAACTAATGCTACCACTTGGGCTGAACTAAAAAAAAAATTCCGAAAAAGATTCACTGATGGTAGAGATCGGTTCAAGCATCGGTTCAAGCATCGTCTTAAATTGCAAATGAAACCCCTCCCAACGGCCGTAGACACGTGCCAGTAAAAATAAATACGGCACAGTATAGTATATCAATTATTACTGAACAGCCGGCTTTGCTAAAACCTGTCTTAAACAAACAAATTTTATCAGAATCTGATCTATATAAACCAGCAAAAATAAGCCCAGAATCATTCTTTCAAAAACTTCTCAACCTCCAAAACCTTCCTCTGATACTTCTCAGCAATTGTAAAAATCAATAAATTTCAAAAATAATGTCTAAAATTACAGATCTCGAAGAAGGTGAAATAATGGACCTTGATCAATCAACGGACCAAGTAATCGATGATTTGCTGAAAGTAAGTATAATTTCTATTTTCCGCCGCCGTCTAAAACAAAATATTTTTTGGTTAGCTATATACACTCTTTTAATATTTCCCCAACAAATCTGCGCTTTTAATCCAGTTGACAATCTCTACGCTAATACAGCAAAAGATCTAAAAATTGCGCATTTTGATTGTCAACTAATGACATCGAACAAAATGTTCTCACTTAATAAAGTAGCTCCCTGCAAAATACAACCTGAAAATATCGAAACTACAACAGCCGAGGTTACTCTTTACCAACGGCATTATAGTACAAAAATTAACGCGACAATGTGTCGTATAAAACACCCAATCTATCCAATGGTTTTGTGATTCTTTCGATTCAAGCGGAATAGACGCTCGCCAAAATATAATCACAACTGATATACACATTTACCCTGATAATTGTAAGCACGCCGCCGAACGGGGATATGTTAACTTAGGATACTCAAAAAATATTCCTTTTCGCTTTGACGAAAAAATCGTCACAAATACAAATAGAGGCAAAGTTGATGGCGAATACCAGAACGAATGCAGCGATCGTTCATGGATCCATTTGGATACTTTCGAATCATACATGCAAAATATTTCCGTAACTGTCAATCTAAAAGATGGCACCGTTAATAACTGGCAAAACATTCCATTACTTTGTCCTGTATATGAAAACGGATGTGAAACAACATCACTCGACCCTTTTGCATATACTTGGAACGAGCCCGAAAACTGCATTTTTTCGGTTCTCAATAAATTCGAAGCAAAAATGATTCGATATGAAGAAAATTATTATATTGTAAAAGACTCTTTTACTAAAATATCCAACCATAATACTCGAGGTAGAGACACTCAACAATTTATGCTAAAAATACTAAATAAACCACAATCTTTATGTGGACACCCAAAAATAGTCTATCCGACCCAATACGAATCATTGGTCATAGCATACCAAAACGGTTTTAATATGGATACCTGTTCACAAATAAACCCGAGTGCTAATACAGGAGTTATTCATTCGGAACCAAATTTGACTTACGTAAAATACGCAAAAAACGAAAATTATCCCTTTGCACCGGGACAAATAGACATGCCGGGACATGCTTCGAACTGCCGAATTGGCACTTTTAACGAATCAATGTGAGTTAGAACGCTCCATGATTCTCAACACTTTATTGCTCTCTATCGAAAGCCCGCGTTTAGCCGGCTAGATTTTGACCCGAAATAGGTCTATGTTTTTAGAGACCAATGGCAATGTTGCCCGGCTCTATCACTGCCCAAAATTTTATTCTCCATTACAATTAATGGATGCATGCTATAATCGGATACCAATTATGTATCGCGAAAAAATTCATTTCGTCGACCCAATCACTCGACAAACTTTTAAATCGGCAGATCAACAAGACTGCTCCGATAAGCATTTAAATCTTTATCAACTAGATTTTGATAACGATAACTCTTGGATCGAACTCACACCCTCTATTACTAGAGTAAAAGGTCCAGATCTTTTTAAGCCGAAAGAAATTAAACGGCAAGTAAAACACTCTCTTGCATCTAGCCATGATGCTTCTATTTACACTTATGCACAAATGCAAAAATTTTGGAGCATGATTACTGATCATTCTGAAATGAAGGGTATTTTACAAAAAGTATCCCAAACTTTTCATAATGCAAGCAAACACTTCTATCCGGACTCGAGTAGTCAATACGGATCTACGCGAAACATATACTTAGACTATCTTATCTCGCCTGATTTTTGGAAGAACGAGTACACTCGTGTTTTCGGTACAATACAG